ATATATATATATATATATATATATATATATATATATATATATATATATATATATATAATAGCAATAATAATAATAATAATAATAATAATAATATAATAATAATAATAATAATAATAATAATAATAATAATAATAATAATAATAATAATAATAATATATATATATTATTATTATTGTTATTATTATTATTAATAGGTGTTTACGCATCATTAGTGATTATACTATTTGTAAACATCCTTGAATGGTTGATATATATATATATATATATATATATATATATATATATATATATACATACATACATACATACATACATACATACATACATACATACATACATACATACATACATACATACATACATACATACATACATACATACATACATACATACATACATACATACATACATACATACATACATACATACATACATACATACATACATACATACATACATACATACATACATACATACATACATACATACATACATACATACATACATACATACATACATACATACATACATACATACATACATACATACATACATACATACATACATACATACATACATACATACATACATACATACATACATACATACATACATACATACATACATACATACATACATACATACATACATACATACATACATACATACATACATACATACATACATACATACATAGATATATATATATATATATATATATATATATATATATATATATATATATATATATATATATATATATATATATATATATATACATACATACATACATACATACATACAAAATATATATATATATATTTTTTTGTATGTATATATATATATATATATATATATATATATTAATTATTATATATATATATTAATTATTATATATATAATAATTATTTTATTTGTATATAAAATCATTATTATCACTATTGTATGAAAATGTTCTCTGTAATAAAGTGTTTTTATAACTAAATTGAGTTTTAATTTTTGTTTTTATTTTACAGCAAAAAAATGACTAATGCATATTCATTTGATGGAGTTATAATTCTTGGTTTATTATTGGTTTGTACATGTGCTTATGTTCGTCGTGTACCAAAATTAAAGCAGTTTTTTTTGACAGAAAAGAAAGGAATTTGGGGAGTCTTTTATAAAGCCTCTGTTGTTGGAATTCGTTTGCATTGGTTGATCGCATTGACTTGTGTTGTTATGGGAGTGTATATTTTAATTATAAAGTAGTTGGTAATTGTTTTAGTTATCATTTGATGGAGTCATCAAATTATTTATGGAATAATGAAAAGTTTATTAATTCAACCCCGTTAACATTTGTTTTTGACTCTTTTACTGGAAAAAAAAAAATAGTTAAAATTTCTGATTCAAATTTGGAAAGTTGTAGAACTCCTTCTAAAATTATTAAGAAAGTTACATACATAAATTATAAAAAATATTTTTCTATAGACAACATAAATAACAATGAAAAGAGTGATGATTCCAAACATGAAATCTTAAGTAATTCATTTCAGATGCGAAAAAAATCTGAGCAGTTTGTTGAAAACATGTCTTCTCAATGGTCTGTTTTGTCTTCTTGTAACGATGCTAGTTTTATGCCAAGCTTTCATATAACAGAAGTTACTGCAACACCATTAAATCTTTCACAACAGAAAATATTGAATTATAAACCTAATGTAAAACCTCTCCCTGATCACAGTCAACTTTGGAATAATCCTGTATTCGGTGTTGATCATCAAGCCAATATACCATCTGTAGCAAACTCAAAAAGGTTACTTTCAAGAAAATCGTTTGACATAGTAAACAATACATTTTCTTTTTCAAAAACCATGCTTGAAAGAGTGGTAGTTCTTGGTCAAGTTGATGATAAATTTATAAGTTGTGTTTTCAGTTCAAAAGATGAGGGAGATGTTTTGGTTCTGATTGATCAACATGCTGTGCATGAAAGGATTCGTTTAGAAAAGTTACTGAATCAAACAGGTTATTACAAAAATGATGAAGACAAAGTACATTTGAAATCACTCTTTACTCGTTTGCTTCCACCTGCACATGTTTGTTTTAGTGAAAGTGAAATAGATTTAGTAAGACACTATCAAAAAGAATTAAAAGAGTTGGGATTGGTCTTCTCAATTTCATCTCTACAGAAAAGTTCACATAGTATTGTACTTCGTTCAATACCATGTATGTTTGTCAATGTGTGTGAATATCAACCAGAAGCAAAAGGTAGTGTTATAAATTCAGGTCTAGTCAAAGATTTTATTATGGAGCAAATCCAAGTTATTAGCACTACCCATGGTAAATGCAGTTTATCATCTTCAACACTGTATAAAGCAATGGCTTCCTATGCTTGTCATGGAGCTATAAAATTTGGTGATAAGTTATCCTTAAAAACATGCCAAAACTTAATGAAGGAACTTTCACAATGCGATCTACCATTTCAATGTGCTCATGGAAGGCCATCAGTTGCTCCTTTGTTTAAACTAAATCAGTTGAAATATTTAGATAAATCATATAATCATAAGGGATTAAATTTTTCCAAGTTGAGAATAAATAAGTAATGTAATAGCTTTTTTACAATTAGTTTTTATGGCTATGTTATTTGTTTTCTTTAATAAAATGATTATTTATTAATTTTTATTTTGTTAAAAATGAAAGTCTGTAAAATGTGTTTGTTTGTTTATTTTAAATAAATAGTGTTCTGGATTTTTAAAATAGTTTTTGTTGTTGTTTTTAAAACCTATTTTGATTTTTGTTTTAACAGAAGTTAAACGAGTATTTGTTGTTGTTTTGATTTTTGTTTTAACAGAAGTTAAACGAGTATTGATATTGATCCATTAAATAATTAATGTTTTTGAATTTCTAAGAATTTTATTTCTTAAAAAAATTTCTTTGAGTTTCATACATATGGTTATAGTTCTTTAAGTTTCATAGTCTAAATGATAGCTGATATCTTCCTGATGGTTTTTTTAAATAGATAACATCAGTTTGAAAGCTTGAATTTATATTATTTTTAACATCAGCTTATTATTTGTATAAAAAACAAACTTAGTATTTGTTTAAGAAATTTCTTGAGTGGTTATTTTTTATTTTTTTTATTTTTTTGTATATTTTATTAAAAAGTATATATATAATTTTTTTTTTGCATTTTTATTATTATATATATATATATATATATATATATATATATATATATATATATATATATATATATATATATATATATATATATATATATATATATATGTATATATATATATATATATGTATATATATATATATGTATATATATATATATATATATATATATATATATATATATATATATATATATATATATATATATATATATATATATTATTCGTTATTCAATTATTTTAAAAATTATTAATCAGATAATTGTATAAAAAAACATGGGCGACATGTCAGAGAAACAACAAGAAGAGTTAGAAGTTTTACAGTCGATTTATGAAGGAGACACAAAGTTTAAACAGATTTCATCTACCTGTTTCCAGTATATGTATGGTGATGAGGAACAAAAGTCTATTCTTATCGAAATATCTTGGCCAGAACTGTATCCAAGTGTTCTTCCAAATGTTAATTTAGGTAAAAAATGAGTAAGAAGAATCTTCAGACCTTACTTTTGTTTGATTTGAATTTTTTTTTAGATCTTTTTCATAACGGATACCTAACTCCAGAGTTTAAATCAGAAATTCAATCAAAGATTCTTAAAGAAGCTAATGACCTTTTACATGATGCTATGACTTATTCACTTTTTAACTGGATGAGTGAACATGCAGATGACTTTATCAATAGAATAGCAGAAATTGTTGCCAATAACAAGGTAAAAAGTATTTTCAAGATGTTATTTAATTCAATTAATTGTTGCTACACGGCAAGTTAAACTATGCATAAAAAGTATAAAACATTAAGTAAATATATTTTTTGCATAATTGCATTTTTGTTACACTCTTAATATGGTAATTCACTCTAAATATAGGTATAACTGAAAGCTATTTTTAATTTTAAGTTATTTTCTTTCTGTTCTGTTTTTTAGATTTTTTTAAAAAAATGAGTTCTATATTAATATAATATAACACATTTGTCCTGTGACACAATTACTCCTGATTTCATTCTCTACCTCTATAATTCCATATATGTAAGTTATATTTCTTGTCATCTAGACAAGCTTCAAAAGTGTGTTGTAAATATAGTTGGATCTGCTCTATATCCCATACTTCACTGTCCCATCGTTGTAAGGTTGCATCTTTTTCTATATCATTTTCTTTTTTCACAAATACTGGTCATTGCTCAAACAACCTATCATCTTTAGTTGCATCAGCCAAAACTTATTCATGCTTGAGGTGTTATTTAGCAAAGACCCATATTTTTACTGTATCTGTTCCTTCATGGGACAGATATAGTAAAAGTATTCATCAGGTTTCCTTTCTTGCATATCAATGCTTTAAAATCTCTCTCGTCTTCATTTTTTCAGGATTTTCACATTTTATAGTTTTTTAAGTCTTCTGTTAACAGTTTTGTTTGTCTTTAACAATAGTTTTTGTTTCTAGTGACTCTCAATGTAAATAGAAAAATCCTTGCGGCCTTATTGAAAGTGAGCTAAATAAATAATATAATTGATCATAAGTTAAAAAAAACAACATCAAAACATTGAAGTACAACATTTAGGTAGAATATTTAAGATAAACATGATTTAAAACATGATTTAAAAATTTAAAACATGATTTAAAAATTTTAAACATGATTTAAAAATTTTAAACATGATTTAAAAATTTTAAAAGGCTAAATAAAATTACTGATTTATTTAGCCTTATGTGCAATGGGGTGTACATCAACTGGGAGTTTTGGTTAAGGAAGGTACTCTTATAATGAAAAGAAAAGTCTTTTTCTAGATTTTTTATTGTAATTATTTTATTTTCTTATAATGGGGCTGGTTGAAGAAATTTAACTTTAAAAAAATTACTTTATTTCTTCAACAATTTTCTTTACTTTTTCAAAAAAAGTTTTTTAATTACTTTAAATCTTTAGTAAGTTTTTTATTGCCTTATCCAGTTCCTTTTTTGTTCTATTTATTTATAATTTGAGTTAAAAATTATAGTAGTAATGATCAATTTAGTTAGCCCTCTGAGGTCAGGTGTGTGGTTTAAGGCCTTTTTTTAAATATGATCATGCTTACAATTTTTTTAGCAAACTTGGCCACAGGTTTTTTTATATTTCGATAATTTTTGCGTTTAAGAAATGCCCTGAAAAACCCAATTAATTTTAGAGAGAAAAGTTAAAATACACAAAATATAAACTGAAAGGAGAAACAAACTTAACAAATGATAAAACGAATAAATGATAAACTAAAAATAAAAGGGTTATTTATTTTTCAAAATTAAGTTTCAAAGTAATTAAACTTGGAATAAAAAAATTTAAAACTTCCATATTTTTTTCTAAATTCTATGAAGTTAAAAACTTTTCGATTAAAGTAAAGGCATATATAAATTTTATACTTTTTATTTTTTTAATTATTTATTTTGTCATTCATTAAGATTTTTATGTTGAGTGTAAAGTTTTAAATTTATTTACAATTATTTTTTTTTATCATTTTATTTTGGTTTTTTCTAAAAAATTCTATATTTGGTATTTTAACTTTTTGATAAACGAATACTTTCAATTCTAATGTTACTTAATCTAAGTGCTGGGTTTGACTCTATTCACCAGCAAAAACTAGTTGGACTAATAAGTTGTGAAATAGGTATAGTTGACTCATGTGCTTTAAAACATTTTTAGTTAAGGGCACCTGAAAAGTTAAAATTTGTAACTCATGTTCCATGAACCAAATAAAAAATATGGAGCACTTTGAGGTACATTCCTTAGTTCGAAATTCATTAATATCTATATGAGATCACAACTGAACATAATTAATGTTAAAAATTTTGGATTTTCAGATGATCATCAAACTAAAACTCAGTGTGATACTCGACAATCGATTATCTTACAAAATTAGTCACATTATTATAAGCAAAATATCCAAAATAGAAAAAATTCTTATTATATAAATATTTGTGCACCATAGTATGTTCACTAATTTTGTGCACCATATTATGTTCACTAATTTTTTCACAGCTAAACTATTGCAACTCTCCCTACAAAGGAAATAAGAAGACAAAATTTAAAAAATTGTAGTCGCTTTAGAAGTGCAGCAAAACTAAAATTTAAAACAAAAATATAATGTTAAATAAACAACCAGCCATTAAAAAGTTTGCATCGGCTGAAAATTTTAATTATATAATAATTTGTTGCTCAGCCAAGCAAGTCGTTTGTCTACTTTTTTATTTTTCTGGCAAAACACAGTAGGTATGAGTAAATTTATGTATGTGCTTAAAATTAAATAACCTTTTAAAAAAATTACAATCAAGATAAAACAATCAAAAGTGTTTAATTTAAACCTTTGTTCAGTTACAAAACTAAATTCACTTGCAAAACTTAAACAGAATACATCATTTCAATGTTACTATTTTTTCATAAATATAAAAATAACATGTTTTGCTTATTTCTTTTCATAAAAACACAATTTACATGTTTTCATAAACAAATGACATGTTTTAATGCACAAATTAAATGTTTAAAATACATGTTTTCATAATCAGTTTTTTACAATTTGTCATAAACAAGTTTAATTTAAAAGAAAAGTATTAATATTTATAACAAATCTTTTCTAAAAATAAGAAACAATGTAGTTTATATATTTTGATACTAATAAACTGTTTATTATTAGATTACAAAGTGTACTATACATACTTAAAAATTACTTAGTTTGCAAAAGTGTACAAATAAGTGTGTGAAACCCCTTAAAAGTGAAAATGAAAATAATGAATATATAAAGTTAATAATTATTAGCATAATAACTCCATGTGTTACATTTGTACGTTTGTTACATTTGTGTGTGTGTGTGTATTTGTGAAATATATAGATGTTAAAAAAATGAATTTAAAAAATGTTAGTTTAAATAACTTATTGCTTTTTATGCAGGATTAAGTCACAGGCTTAAAGCCATTAGCTTTTTATATATGATTAAATCACAGGCCTGAAGTCAATAGCTTTTTATGTATGATTAAGTCACAGGCCTGAAGTCAATAGCTAAGTATTTAAGCTGTTAACTTTAATAAAATTTTAAGTTTTTTTATATAACTTGCAACTATTGTGCTGAGTTGTTGTGTGTGAGCCAGGAATTTATGATCTTGTTTTTATTAAAAGATGATCATTTTGCAGTGCATTTTAAAAAGTTTCTCTGCTAATAAACTCAAATGGTTATTACTGTAAGTTGCTAAAATCTGGGGATATCACTTTTTTTTTTAACCAACCAATAGTTTCTGAAGGCCTTTATGAAGGGTTTCCTATTTTGAAATGGGAAAAAACTTTGATCTTTTATCTCTGAAACTCCCCAATAGCTAAAATATTATCAAGTAACATGCAATCTTTTTTTTTTTTTTCTTCACAAAACATTATTCTTTATTACATATTAAAATGTTTTCTTGTTTTCTAGGTGTTTCGTGAGACAAAATTAATCTGTGATGACAACTCCATTGTTTCTACAAAGAAAGAGAAGAAACAACAGTTATCTAAAGCACAAAAGCGAAGAATAACTGAGCAAACTAATTACTTAGGCGAGAAAGAACGTGGACATGATTGGATTGATGTTGTAAAACATTTAACTCAAGGTGTATGAGTAGCACAATATTGAAGATATTGTTGGAAATGAATATTTTCTCCTTTAAAGATCTGAAATAAAAGATATGTGGTTGAATGTATAAACTATAAAAGAGTACAAGTAAAAATTATGGCTACATCATAAAAAAAATAAAGTGTGCGGTTAATGGAAAATAGGAATAACGAATTTATTGTTTTTTTTTTATTTTACATAAATATTTTTCATCAATTAGATTTTAGATTTTAAATTTTTACATTTATTTTCTTTACTAATAGTATTTATTTAAAAAATGAGAATATAAGTTTGTTTAAGGTTATTTATAAATATAACATATTTTTAAATATATATATTTTCTACTTCAATGTATTTTGTTATGAGTGTTATGTATTGTTTTGCTATGGCCACAAAGTCTCTGATAATGCCTTAAAATCTGTGAATACTCTCAACAAGTTTGACATTTAAAAGTAGGTCAACCTAGTTTGAAAGTATTTAATATACATATATATATATATATATATATATATATATATATATATATATATATATATATATATATATATATATATATATATATATATATATATATATATTTATATATATATAAATATATATATATATATATATATATATCAAATTAGCATACTGAACAGCCCTAATATATATATATATATATATATATATATATATATATATATATATATATATATATATATATATATATATATATATATATATATATATATATATATATATATGTATATATATATGTGTATATATATATATATATATATATATATGTATATATATGTGTATATATATATAAATATATATATATATATATTTTGGCCACGACTGTATATACATACAGTCGTGGCCAAAAGTTTAGAATCACATGTGAACTTGGTACTCAAAATCATTAAAAACAAAAAGTATTTTTTATAAAAAAAACAATATTAGGTTTTTTTTGAATAAAAACTATGGTTTTTAAACGAAAAATGAAAAAAGGTAGAATTCACAACATTTTTAATAATAAGTTTTTTTAAGTTGTTTTTTATAAAAAATGAATCTAATTTTTAAAATTTTTATAAAATTTTGCTTCTTTTGAGTACCAAGTTGACATATTTTTAAATAATTTTTTTTTAAATAATATTAGGGACCTGTCAAATGTTTAGTGTCTTTGAGGGACCTATAGGGCAAATAATAAAATTTAGTAAAAAATATTTTTGAACCACAATATGATAGTTGAATGGGAAAAACTTCAATTAGCTATGTTCTGAAAACAAATTAGCATACTGAACAGCCCTAATATATATATATATATATATATATATATATATATATATATATATATATATATATATATATATATATATATATATATATATATATATATATATATATATATATATATATATATATATGTATATATATATATATGTGTGTATATATATATATATGTATATATATATATATATTTATATATATATATAATATATATATATATATATATATATATATATATATATATATATATATATATATATGTATATATATGTGTATATATATATATATAAATATATATATATATATTTTGGCCACAACTGTATATACATACAGTCGTGGCCAAAAGTTTAGAATCACATGTGAACTTGGTACTCAAAATCATTAAAAACAAAAAGTATTTTTTATAAAAAAAACAATATTAGGTTTTTTTAAATAAAAACTACGAAAAATGAAAAAAGGTAATATTCACAACATTTTTAATAATAAGTTTTTTTAAGTTGTTTTTTATAAAAAATGAATCTAATTTTTAAAATTTTTATAAAATTTTGCTTCTTTTGAGTACCAAGTTGACATATTTTTAAATAATTTTTTTTAAATAATATTAGGGACCTGTCAAATGTTTAGTGGCTTTGAGGGACCTTTAGGGCAAATAATAAAATTTAGTAAAAAATATTTTTGAACCACAATATGATAGTTGAATGGGAAAAACTTCAATTAGCTATGTTCTGAAAACAAATTAGCATACTGAACAGCCCTAATATATATATATATATATATATATATATATATACAGTCGTGGCCAAAAGTTTAGAATCACATGTGAACTTTTCATTTTTTTGTGTTTTTGTCGAACCTTGGTCAGAAATATTAATTCTATTTAGTTGTTATTGTTCCGGTATTTAGTTAAGCCATTTGTGGTAGCTAAGCAGCAGTTTTAATTACATTTTTTGATCATTTTAATGGGAAAAAAGAAGGAATTATCAGAAGTTATTAGAGGTCAAATTCTTATATTAGCTCAACAAAAAAATTCAACTAGAGATATTCCAAAAATTGTAAATGTATCACAATCTTGTGTTAGTAAGACATTAAGTAGAATTCGACAATGTGGAACATTTTCGTCACGTGGGAGAAGTGGCAGACCAAAAAAGTGACTGAAAGGTTGACAAGACGCATCAAGTTTATTGTGGAGAATAATCCCAAGCTGTCATCATATGGGATTCTGGATGATTTGCATCCTGGAAATGCTGAAGCAAGTCTACCAAGCACAAGAACGATCAGACGTGTGCTGCAGATTGATCTGAAGCGTCCTGCTCAACGACCTGCCAAGAAACCAGCCTTGAATGACACTCAAAGCAAGAGGAGGTTGGACTTCTGCAAAAAGCACAAACATTGGAAGGAGAAGGACTGGGAGAAAGTAATGTTTTCTGATGAAAGCACATTTGAACAATTTGGGACATCATGTAATTATGTTAGAAGACCACAAGGATCCAGGTATGTTCAGAAGTACACTGTGCCTACTTTAAAACATCCACTGTCAATAATGGTGTGGGGTTGCTTCTCAGCTCGATTTCGCGGCCGGTTATATTTTGTACCAAAGGGGCAGAGAGTAAATTCCCAGATTTATCAGGGAATTCTACAGGAAAAGCTGCTCCCAAGCATGGAGTCACATAGAACAACCATATTTCAGCAAGGCAATGCTCCATGCCATACTTCCAAGGTGATGCAAGCCTTCTTCAAGAAAATCAAGGTATCCGTTCTCGACTGGCCGGGTAACAGCCCCGATCTTATCCCCATAGAGAATTTGTGGACCATACTGAAGCGTAAAGTGAAAAGAAAGTTGCCACAGAATATTGAAGATTTACAGAGGAAGCTAGTGGAAGTTTGGACAAAAGAGATAACACCAGAACTGTGTAAGAAACTTGTTTGGAGCATGCCACATCAAATTGCGGCTGTATTAAAGAACCGCGGTTATCCTACCAAATATTAAATTTTTGCAACTTTTTATATTGTTAGATTTGTTCAACATTGTAGGTGCTATATACTCTAGTCTAATATGCAGTGTTATATGAATCGGTGTTATACTATCTTTATTTGTATGCAATAAATTAGAAAAAACATGGTTTTTGTTAAAAAATATTGGGCGATTCCAAACTTTTGGCCACGACTGTATATATATATATATATATATATATATATATATATATATATATATATATATATATATATATATATATATATTATATATATATATATATATGTATATATATATGTATATATATATGTATATATATATATATATATATATATATATATATATATATATATATATATATATATAAATTTATATATATATATATATTTATACATATATATATATATATATATATATTTATATATATATATATATATATATATATATATATATATATATATATATATATATATATATATATATATATATATATATATATTAAATTATATATATACAGGCCTCTGCGAAAGGAAATGAGTGCATGAGTGGTTACAGGGTCTCCTAAAACATACATGGCAAGCTGTGTGAGTTACTCCTCTAAACAGCTTTTTATGAGAGCTTTTGATATATGGGCGAGCTATCTGTTTATCCATTTATAAAGTTGCTTTTTTTTCTTGTTACAAACATATGCTTGTGACGTTGTTACAAGAACAAATATATAACGAGCAATGTCCAACGTGATATGAAAAATTTCTTTAGGCAAGCGTTTTTCACTCTATCCATTTATTCATTAACAACTTTATTCATTCAATGAAAAATTTGATAAACATTTAATAAAGCTGCATAAATTTTTACTGTTTATAAAAAAAATATTTTATATTTTTTTATTGTAATAAAATGAAGGAAGTTAATGAGTTATTAAAACAAAGAAAGGTTCTACATTAAAAGTGCAGGCCTTATTTTAAATAAAAAATGCCTAATGCATTAGGCATTTTTAATTTAGCTTAACGCGATATTTGATGTCATAAAGTTCTCTTTAATTTTTAAAGACATAAACTTTTTCAAATTACTGCAATAATATCAAATGCCGCAAAACAGGTTAAATGTATTTTTTTTTTTTTTAATATCTTCGCTTATAACAAGGCTGCAAGCAACCACTAATTAGTGTTGGAAGTTACTGGAAGAGAAAAGATGAAGGTTGTAGAGCAAGATAACGATTGACAGACGACTTGAAAAATTGTAAATTATATGAATCAGGAAAGCAAGATGAAGGAAGCGAATTCTAAAGAACTGATGTTTGATGAAAAAAACTAGACAAATAAGAGTTATTAGAGCACTTAGGAAGTAACAGAAAAAGGATGAGACTTAATCGAATGACCAGTAACACAAGAGTAAGTTTTAGTAGATGGCACAAGAGACGCTAGCTCTTTAGAGCAGTGCCCATTATAGTATTTGTAGAAAAAAGGAAAGAGAAGCAACATTATGACGATGTGATAATGGTTAAAAGTTGGCTGCAAGAGCAGATTCAACTATGTTTACAATGCGTTTTTGTACCTTGTCTAAGGAGAAAGGGAATCATTAGAAGATCCGCCCCAGATATGGCAACAGTATTCCATACAAGGCTGGATTTGAGATTTATAGAGATAGAGAATAGAATCCAGAGTAAGAAAGTATCGAGTTTGATAAAGAGAGGCAACTTTATCAGGTACATCAATTTTGCAACAGATTTGATATATGGTTTCCAAGAAAGATCAGAAGTAAGTGTTAATCCTAGAAGATAAAGTGTAGATGACTCATTGAGTACATTACCGTTTATAAATATAGGAAGGTCTAAATTATTGCAATAACGATTGACTGAAAAAAATTGAATTAAAGTCCACCAGCCACTGTAAGCCCCATGCTGTAGCAGAAGTGAGATCCTTTACAAGCTCAAATGCCCCTCGAAGCAATCAGAGAATAATGGCTTCTTATTATGACAAGAATAAATTGTAGTATCATCAGTGAGTAATGCCACCTTTGATGTGAGAATATCTGGAAGATCATTAATGCAAATTAAAAAGAGTATAGGGCCAAGGATTGAACCTTGGTTGGAAAACAGGTTGAAAAACAAGACTCTGATAAGCACTTGTTGAATAGTTTTGAAAGGATAGACTACATTGAACACTTCTGTGAATATATCAGGTATGTTGTCCGGGCCACAAGCTGTAGAAGAGTCTAAGCAGGAAATCACTTAGATACAGAAGCTAGAGTGATACAAATGTCAAGCAATGGATCAACCTGTTTGACGGCTGTATCAAGTAGAATGCAACTAGTGGAATCAAGAGATGATATTGATGAAAAGTTCTTAGCAAACAATTCAGCTTTATCTTTAGGTGAGATGACAAAGTCTGAACCATACAAAAGAGGTGGAATTACAGACTTGCCCTTATTTTTGATACTGTTAAAGATTCTCCAGAAGTCACGAGAGCCTAATTTTTGTGATGAATACGAGATTTCATGACCTGAGAATAGCCGGTTTTGGCATTAAACAAAACCTTTTTACAATGGTTCCTAGCAGTAATAAACAGACATCTGTTTTCTGGAGACTTATTTTGCTGATAGATATGGAAGTTGTGGTTTTGATTGGCAATTGCAGCAGCACAATGCGAGGAAAACCATGGAGAAGAGTGAGGTTTGACCTGGAATTATCGAGAGGGAACAAAGGATTTCATGCCAGCCTGAATCCATGAAGTTATGTAAGAAGCACATTTGTCAACAGGAAGAGGAAAGATTTTTACCCAAGGGCCATCATGAAGAAAATAACGGAAAGAGTCCCAGTCAGCTTTGAGGTAGTTGTAAGATGTACAATGATAGGGGGATTCTGATGATGAAAAAGAATAATGTAATAATTTTAGAGAGATCAAATCGTGATCAGAAGAACCAAAGGGTGAAGGTGGAGAAACTGAGCAATGACTAAGATTAGAAACAAGACATAAGTTGAGTTGAAAAGTAAATCATTGTCTGGAAAGCAATTTGGAAAGTTGACTATTTGAGTTAGGGATTGAGAAAGGCAAAAAATCTGGGCTTTAATGCCTGCAGAGTCACTGACACTAGAGCCAAGCCATTCAGTGTGATGAACATTAAAGTCATCGACAACAACAATATTGGTTGATGGATATAGAGAGAGGGCTTGGTTAATATGATTAGAAATAACATCAAGAAGATTGCAGTTTTGAGATGAAGTAGAGCGATATAAAATAAAGAGAAAGGTGATAGAGTGAAGTGGAGCTAAATCAAAGCACATAAAAGAGTAGTCTGTGGATTCAAACCTAGTTTAGCGACAAATTGGTGAATTCTTATAAATGTAAATGCCAAGCATTTATATAAGAATTCACCAATTTGACCAAGCATGTGACTATTTGAATCTTTACGAATTAAAGGAAGATAGCCATCAATACTAAGATAACAAGATGAGATAGCTGAACTCAAATTAGTCTCACAAATAGCAAGTAGGTCTGGTGAACTTTACAAGAGATAAGACTCAACAGAAGAAAAGTTACTTCGAAGACCATGAATATTAGTGAATGATAGGTTTAGAAAATTTGGTGATGACAGGGGTTTTTTGTGTTTTATAGTTTTTGTTACTTTATTCATTTTTAAATTTGTTGAAGAACTTGACTGTAAACATAGATAGTACTCAGTACACTGTTTAATAGCCCTAGCAATTGCCTCATTACTATTTATAAGCCTTAAGCCGTAACAAAAGGCTCCAATGTGGCCTTAGCAATGCACACCAAAAGTACAAACTGAGATACCATCCATGCGTAACATGGCACTGTTAATACTTTGATATTTTTTAGCTGTTGATGGAATCAGCCTCTCTGAGAGCTACCACAGAATTCGGGAAACCTGACTGCCAGCCAGCCTCAGAAATATAAAACTGAGTTTTGGAGCTGTACCCTCATTAGGAAATTATAGAGTGAGTTGCCTAGTCATAAAAACAGAGACACAAGCTAAATCCATGCATTGAGTCAAGAAGATCCAGCATTCAACATCCTAAACAGGAAACAATGCATTAAAAATACATCTGTGCCAGCCTAATAGATGAAGAAGGGGTGCAAGGGTGGTCAACAGATAGAATCTGTTTACCCTTTAAGTCTTTGCCTAGGAGGCCTTCTACAAGACAGCAGCTGGATGCATTTAACATCTGCCCAAGATGAGTATTTTTATCGAGACATTATCTCTAGTCTTAATTCAACCAAGAGCCCCAAGGCAGGGGGTGTTTTTTGTTGGAGTTGGCATCTTCTAGCCTTTGCCTAAAAAGCTGTATCCTACAAGGCAGCAAGACATGAAGCAGATTGTACTAGGTTACATGTTACCAGTAGCAGGATAAACCTTACCTGAAAAACCTGACAAAACCTGGCCTGACAAAAAATTTAACAGCTTTTTTATTATTTCTATAAGAGAATGTTTATTAATTTTTTTTTTTAATATTATATAATTAAATTTAATATTGCATTTTGAAAAATGTTGATATTAACAATTGCATAAATGAATTAAAACATGTTAAATTTTTGAATTTTTAAAATAATTATTTCTTAAATTTCTAATTGCGGTTTTGCAACTACAAATGATTTTTTATTTTTAAAAAACTAGCAAATAAAAAAATTTTGTTAATTTTTCACTACGTTATTTATTAAAAATTTATTAGTCTAATATTTTATTATTAAAATTATATCCCTGTTTATCATTTATTAAAAAATTATCACTGGAATTTATCTTGCGTTGTAGAAAAAAAAGATTAAGTTACCTTATGTGCAAATTATTGATGCAGCCATATATTTAAAACATAATTTTGAGTTTAAAAAAAAATGTTTAAGAAGGAAAACCTACAATTAATTGCTATAAAAATGAGTTAATTTTTTTTTAGAAAAAATAAATTTTTAGTATTGAATAATATTTAGTAATATTTTTAAATAAATTTGACAGTTAAGTTAAACCCAAGCATTAATTTTAATTTAACAAACTTTGATATATTTTTTAAATCAAAATTTAATTATATATTTTTAAAATCTAAATTATATTATGTTTTTTAAATTAGTTTTAAATTAAATCATACATTTTTTTTATCAGAGTTAAATTATGTTTTTATGATCTTGGCTTCAAGCTATAAAAAGCAATCATTACAATAAAATAAAAACAAAATAAAAATAAACTTTTAATTTTATATGAGTTTTTTATATCAAACATAATTTTCATTTTCATTTTAATAATAAAATATTAGACTAATAAATTTTTAATAAATAACGTAGTGAAAAATTAACAAAATTTTTTTATTTGTTACTCGCTAGTTTTTTGCTTACGTAAAATCGCTTAAGACATGTAAATCGCTCTACGCATAATGCTTTAAAACAAGGCCTAAAAGTGTTTATATAATTACAATTTTTTTTAGATTAGAATTTCAGAAGAATTTTTATACTTTTGTAAGAACTGTATTTTTATATATATATATATATATATATATATATATATATATATATATATATATATATATATATATATATATATATATATATATATATGTATATATATATATATATATATATATATATATATATATATATATATATATATATATCTTTGAATGTCATTTTCTTGTTATACGTTAAAATATGGTTAGAATTCAATAAATACGGCTGCGTATAAACTTTTTTTAAATATATATATTTTTTCTTTAATATATAATTATTTCGGTATTTCGCTGATCTGTTGTGATCAGCGTCATCAGGTATAATAAACAAATTTTTGTTTATTAAATTTTGTTTATTATACCTGATGATTTTGTTGAAAACTGATACCTGATGATTTTGTTGAAAATTTTGTTTAAAAAATTTTGTTTATTATACCTGATGACGCTGATCACAATAGATCAGCAAAATATCGAAATAATTATATATTAAAGAAAATATATATATATATATATTTAAAAAAAGTTTATACGCAGCCGTATTTATTGAATTCTAACCACACACACACACATATATATATATATATATATATATATATATATATATATATATATATATATATATATATATATATATATATATATATATATATATATATATATATATATATATATATATATATATATATGTATATATATATATATATATATATATATATATATATATATATATATGTATATATATATTCAATATATATATAAATAGTCTAATACATATTTTGACTATATCATAGCCATCATCAGTTAATATAGATTAAAATGCTTAAATCAAATTAGTAAAATTAAGTTAAACTAATAGACCCTTATAATAAAAAATGCAATTAAAATGTTTAACAAATGTTTTAAAAAGGATAAAAGAACCGATAATGTTAAAAGGAACTAGATTGAAATTTTTTCAGTTTTAATCATGTTAGTTTTTTAATTTTGGATTCAGCCTCCAACAAAATTATATTAAAACTCAAAGAAAGCATGTACATAGATTGGAAAAAATTCACTGTTAATAAGCATATATATATATATATATATATATATATATATATATATATATATATATATATATATATATATATATATATATATATATATATATATATATTTGCATTGTTTGACAAGGACCGCATTGGTCTTAGTGCTGCTTACTGCTTTCTTAAACTTGCTGTTACTTAAAATAAACTAGAAAGTAGCATTATAGCTTTATATATATAGCATTATAATAAACTAGAAAGTAGCATTAGCAACATATCTTTAATACAACTTTTAACTGATGATATTTTTTCTTTAGAAAAACCTTTAAAGTATAAAAATAATGTTTAAGTAGTTATGAAATATAAATAAAGAATGGGTCAATATCAAATGAACTATATTTCTTCAAGAAATATTTAATCAACAGATAAAATGCCACCTAAAATTTGTAAAGATTGTTATACTAAACTTGGTTTCTTCAAAAAAAAGGTTAGTGATCAATATTTATATAGAATAAATTCTTACTTATTCTGGTTTATTCATTATCATATTTTGTTGGTTAATTTGTTCAATATATTATTTTTGTTTTACATTAAAATGCTTATTTGAACTATTCAAGTCTTCACTTTGATTAAAAAAAAATCAAATTGTTAAAATTTAAAAATATGCATTTGACTGCCTGCCCACCTTTTTTGTAAGATCATCAAATTTTTTTTGGTTATAATTTGACATCTGTTAATTAATTTCAATCTAGTTTAATATAACACACACGCAAAAAAAATTTGAAAAATTCCATTCAGGAACTATACGCTAGGGGGTGAGCTGTTTAGGGTCCAATAGGTTAGCTAAAATTACTTAATTGCTGTACAAAAAAAAATTTTTTCTGGTATATTTTGCATGTCATATCATCATATCATATATCAAAAAATTATGTTAAACAGTTGTTCATAGGAGGGTGTTATTTTAATTTTTACAAGCTATTTCAAAAGTTTTCTCACTTGCCAAAAATGATTGAAATCCTGGTGAATGAATTTGAGAGCTTGTTTGGTCCAGTAACCTAAGGCTACAGCAAAATGTACAAAATAAATTTTAGTCTATTTAATGAAAAATTGTTGTAGTTTATGCAAGTTTTAACTTACATAAACTGTTGTAATATTGTAATAATAAGTATTTAGTTACTATTATTATAGTTAAATAATAATTAGTGATGTGCCGGGTATCCGGCTCGGACAGAGGGATCCAGTAATTCGGCTGTTTTATTGGGTACCAGGAATTGGCCATTTTGTTGCAGTACCCAGCACATATACATAAAAATCAGAAACAGAAAAAAAAACAAAAAAAAATCTGAAAAAAAGGTTTGACCATAAAACATAAAAACAAGGTCGACAATATTTTGCTGACCTCAAACACTTCTAGGTTGGCATTGCCAAATGCTGACCCTAATTCTAAGGGCTGTAATATAAAGTAAAAACCTAATGAAAATGATGTTAAATAAAATTAATGATGAAAATAATAATAATAATAATAATAATAATAATAATAATAATAATAATAATAATTTTAATAACAACAGTAATAACAATAAAAATAAAAATGTAAATAATAAGCAGATTAACGATGATAACAATAATAATAATAATAATAATAATAATAATAATAATAATAATAATAATAATAAAGGAAAATTATCAACACTAATAATAAAAATAATAAATTATAATAAAAATAAATCATTATTAGATTTATAAAAAAAAACTTAATATTGTATTATAATTATATATAAAAACAGCTTTCTGTGAGATAAAAACAGTTATTGTAAAGAAATCAACAATGAATGAATAATATTTATAACATTTAAATCAAAATAAAAACTGTTTTTTTTTTTTTTTAACATCTGTACTTCCAAAAAAGCTGCAACCACTATTTGAGTTAAAAGTTACTGGAAGAGAAAAGATGAAATTTATAAAGAAAGATAATGATCAACAGGCAATCAGAAAAACAAGAATATGGGAGCAAATTCCGAAGAACCGATGTTCACTAAAAAAAAACTAGACAAATCAGAATTTTGGAGCACTTAGATGTCACAGTAAAAAAATGAGACTCAATTAAATGGTGAGTAACACAATAATATTTTTGCATATTTACTTAAAGAGAAAGAGCATCATATGAAGATATGAACATTTGAAGATCTCGTACATCATGAAGATCCGGCTCAGAGGCTTCTTAAAAAACACTTTAAAAAATGTTTTTTTTTTCCAACTTTAACAAAGTAAAATAACTTTAAAAATATTGTCTTCAAAAATTTTTTTTTCTGTTTTAAAAAATACTTTTGTATTTTATTTTGTAAACAAAATACAAAAAAAAATAAAGTTTTAGTTGTTGTTACAAGTGCATCAATTATGTAAATAGTGTTGGTAGTTAAAACCCAACACTTTTCTGCTCTAGATGGCAAGAAAAGTTTGTTAAAATGGCCATACAAATTCATAAATGTTGTTATAATATCTTTAACAGATGATAAATTTAAAATTTTCCCTATCATTATTATGAAAAGATTTTAATACGATAAATTTCATTTATAATACCAATCCAATGAAGCGCATCAACACATTTTTCACATTAAAAAATCTCACCAAATTTCAATGTATTAACGTTAGTTTGCTGATTAGTTTGAGAGCTTTAAATACCATAAAAAGAAAAAATGCCTGTTATATTAACATCTTCACTTGCTCATTTAAAGCTAATAGTATCTATAGATTCTGGATTAAATTGATGTTAGTTCCTAATTCCAGGAATTGTTCTACTTTTAAAATCTTTTCATGATGGTGGCATTCCAGATCACCAAATTCATTCTTCTCTGGCATCTTTTCTATAACAATCAAATCTCTATAAGTCAGTCTTTCTACAATAAATTACTTTATAACAAGTATTATTTAACACTCAAAACCATTTTTTCTGTAGAACTAACTTTTAAGTTGCTTTTTAGATTAATTTAAAAATTAGAAAACAGTAATAATTAATGTAATTAAAGCAACTTAAACACAATGGTAGTGGAAAACCAAACAGTAATTGATTTCTTTTATCTTTTTTTCGAATGTGAAACATAATAATTCTTTAATATGAACACGTTGTGTTCATATTAAAGAAAATGTTTTAAAAAAACATTTGGGCTAAGTTTTTTTGATTGAAACTTAATAATAAATGCATACCAACAAACATTATCATTACATACCAACATAAAATTATCGTTTTAGTCAAAGCTCGCCTTCTCTATTTTTTTTTGGTTCTCGAGGTCTGTATAATGTTAGCCGCAAATTGCAGACTTGATAATTTATTCAGTTTCGGTATGTGACGTCATCGCAATATCTTTTTAAGATAGCGTTTTTTTGTTGTTGTTTTAAGATATAAGTATATTTTCTACTACAATCAGAAAATCAAATATTTGTGTAGTTTTTTACTAAATCACAAAAAATATTTGTGATTTAGTAAAAATTATAAATATATATATATATATATATATATATATATATATATATATATATATATATATATATATATATATATATATATATATATATATATATATATATATATATATATATATATATATATATATATATATATTTATAATTTTTTTTTTTACTTGTTTTATTATTACTTTGTTGTAGAAGCCACCAAAATCATGACACAATTATACATATTTTGTAATTATTAGAGTTTGCAGGCAGAAAAAAAATAAAGGCAGTATGATGCGGTTTTTCGTTTTATATTTAGTTCATATGGTTTAATAGAGTTGTTCTTTTTTTGTTTAATTTAAATTTAGTTATGGTTTAACTCTTTCACTACCGCCAGCCACTGGTAGCGGCTTTCGAGTATGCATTACAATATATCTTGTTTTGTACATAAATTTTCATTCTAGACACATAGAATTTGTTTGTTCTGAAGGTTTAATTAATTCTCTACATAATCAAGAAAAATAAGAGCTATATTGTGTAATTATAAAAATGTTATCACAAGGTTAAAAATCTTGAATAATCCTTCATAAAAAAACTTTAAATCAAGTTATAAAATAAAACAGCGTCAACACTGTAAAACTTTACTAATAGAAGCGTTAAGTATTTATTAAGTAATACCAAAGTATTTTGAAGAAAAAATGTTATTCTTATTCATTAAATGAGGTTTGTTTTGGACTTAATGTTTTAAATACTACTTACAAAAATAATAGTTTTAAGCACTTTGCCTTTCTTATTGTTTAATGATGCGTGTTAAAAACTTTATTATTTTCGAATTTTAATTAATTAAAGTAAATGCTATTCAAACTTTATTCAAAAAAATGTGCGGTTGCTACAAAAAGATTTTTGTTTGGCTGGTAGCGAACAGTTTAATGTGGTTCTTTGTTTTTGTATTTATATTATTACTATTTCTTGTATATTTTAATAACAAATATAAATATAACAAATTAAAGTTTATAACAAATATTTTAACAAATGTTTGTTTTAACTTTAATTTAGTTTGATTTGAATAGTTATTAGTAAAATAAGTCGTTTAATATTTATTTTCTACTTAGTTCAGTTTATATGTTTTATTCAAGTCACTTGTTTTTCTACTAAAAAAACAAGTGACTTGAATAAAACATATATATAATTTTCTAGATTGAGTTTGTTATAAGGATTCTTTGCTTAAAGAAATTTGTGAAATATTTTATTTCGCATTTTAATAGAAGTCGAGATTCCTTGTGTTATCCAAGGTTTGAGACCCCTTGATAAGCAGCGATTGCTGACTTTTTTTAATGGTGCATGTTTATCTAAAAGAGAATTGAAACTTGAGAAAAACTCTTCAAATGACTTATTAGTCTTACCTTCGTTGACATTGATTATATTAATCCAGCTAATTTTTGAGAAATCACTACATAATTCGACGCAATTTATTTGTTTTAAATTTCGACGAAAAATGCGGCTTTTACGAGTATTAATTTTGGTTCTATAAAAATGGATGTATTAAAAATTGGGGCAGATGATCTGATACCGCAGAAGTAAAATTACCTGCAAAAATATTTGTAGAAATTGCATTAGAAAATATGTTATCAATTAGAGTTTTGGAATGATTTGTGATTCTTGTTGGCAATGAAATAAAAGGAAGAAAGTTATTTAAAGCAATAGTGTCTAAAAATTCAGAGACAGAGTTATCTGAGTTTGCTAATAAAAGATCGACATTAAAATCGCCTATTAAAAAAATAGTTTTGTTTTTTTCCATAGATAGCTTTTCAAAAAGTGGAATTAAATATGATTTAATAAATTCTGAAATATCCATACTAGGATGGCGATAAATACAGCCAATAATGATGTTTGATTTTTTAGGAATTATGATTTCCACAAACACAGATTCTAAAAGCTTTGGTTTAAGCATATTAAGATCATATCGAAGTTTGTAAATTAATGTATTCGATATATAAAGTAAAGCTCCTCCAAAAAAAGATTTTGTTGGAGTGTGCT